TAAGTGGTGCGTAGGTCTGCGCCCGGGATCTGAACCAGCGAACCCTGGGCCACCAAAGCAGAATATGTGAACTTAAGCACTATGCCACTGGACTGGCCCTAAAAGTTTTTAATTTTGATGAAATCCAATTTATTAATTTTTTCTTTTACGGTTCATACTGTTTATATTCTAAGGAATCTTTGTCGATTCCAAGGTTCATAAAGATTTTTTTCTGATGTTTTCTTCTAGAAGTTTTATAGCTTTAGCTTTTACTTTAAGTTTACAGTCTGTTTCACATCGTTTACTTTTATCATGTTAAACCTGAAGGTTCATTCTTGGTATCTGCCCAATGTTGACGCAATGTATTATTTTTAACATGTTGCTGGATGCCGTTTGTTAATACTTTGTTTCAGCATCTGTGTTTGTAAGTGAGATTGGCCCATGATCACCTTGTAGGGTTTTGAGATATAAGTTTTGCTGGCCTCATAAAATGAGTTGGGGCATGTGCCCTCTTAATTCTGTTCACAGTATATTTGAGTTTAGTTGGATGATTTGTTCTTTGAATGTGGGTGGAACTTCCCAGTGGAGCCATCTGGACCTTGAGTTGACAGAGAAGATGGGGCCTTGAAGCTTGCTTGGGGAGTAGTATATCTTTGGTGGCCCAGAGGAGCGTGTGGAGATGCAGGTGAGAGTACGCCCTGGCTCTGCTCAGGAACGGCAGAGATGGAGGTTGGAGCTGCACAGGCTGTCCTTGGGGCTTTATAACTGCCTGGGCTGTGGTCTCCCAGTTGGTGTCAGAGGCCTCGTGTTTTCTTGGTGGAGCCATCATAAAAGATGTTGCCAAGAGGCGCTGTCTGCCCCAGGGACTCCCCAGGCAGTGGGTGTTTGGGGCAGGATTGGCTGGATCCCTAGAGACTCACCTCTTATGACTAGCACAGTTGAAGTTCTACTGGGTAAAGCCAGTTCAAATGAGGAACTCCTTTTTAGGCCAGCTTTCCTCATATTCTGGGAAAGGAATGGAATAAATTTCTGATTCTTGCTTCCTGAAAGATGATGGAGACTCTGCTCCAGAGAAAGACCCTTAGAGCAAAGCTGAGCTCAGATCTCACCCCCTGGGGGCAGTGTTTCCGATGTCCTTCCCCCGCCCCACCCCTGCTTCTTTCCCTGCTATCAGAATCCATCTCTACCTCTTTACCGAATCCCATGAGCTGCTGTTTCCTGTTAATGACTGAGATTTTGAGTCTCTAACCGTCTGTTTGCTATCAATCCTTTGCATGTTTCCCTTACCAGGACCTTTGAGGGCCAGGCACGCCTCCCAGCTTGTCCTATCTGTACTTTATTAGGCGCTTGTGTATAAGAGTCAGATATTTGGTGAATTGAATTGAAATGCCTCAAAAAACATCCCTAAATGCTGACAGAGATGTGCTAAGTGAGGCTCTCTTGGAGCAGAGACATGCAGAGAGGATGGGTGGGTGAGCGTTGCTCTTGCCTGAGCTTTGACGCCAGCAGGATGGTTGAGCTGTCTCTGGTCATTTGCAGAGCGTGTTTCTGTGTGCCTGTCTGCTGAGCTGTGGAGAGGTAGGCCGAGTGGGGCAAGAAGAGGCCCCAGGTGTACCCGGGGCTTACGGAGCACCACAGCAAAACAGTTTCTTTGTGTTCATTGAGATTCTGTTGCTGTAATGCCTGAGGAACAAACAGCACCAAAATCTTAGACGCTTACAACAGCAAATATCTGTTTCGTTCTCATGGCAATTGGGCTGTGGCTAGACTGTCCCAGCTGGGTCAGGCTGGACTTAGGCTTTGAGTCAAGTTCAGGGTCTTTGTTCTGGAGCCCAGACTGAAAGGGCAGCAGTACCCAGGGTGCGTTCTTACAGTGGATCATAGGAGCGCAGGAGGCGAAGCCAATCACACAGATCCCCTGAAGGCCTCTGCTTAGGTCACATTCTCAGACATTCCAGCAGCCAAAGCAAGGCCTGGGCCCGAGCCAGCACCTGATGTCAGTGGGGTGGGAATTATAACTGTGTGCATGGACCGGTGGCCCTGCAAAGTCACACAGCAAAGTGCATGGTATCTAATCCTACAGCTTCGGGAACAGTAATCCCATCCATTCTAGTCTTCTCTTCAGTGCCTCCAGGAAGTTCTGGAAGCATCTGTTGTCTGCTGTATGTAGCATGCACAGTGCCTGGCATGGAGGAACTTCTCTGATGTTTGACTCAATGAACAAGCATAAACCCACTGAAGGTTCTAGTTTGATTCTTTATAGAAGAAAGTTAAGAGTCATGCTACTAAAAGGAGTCACAGGTCTTATAAAATTGCTTATAAACCAATGTCAGAAGAATGTTGTCCTCGTATGCCATTTCTCTGATTTTATTGACATTTTGCTCAAACTCTGTCTTGTTTCAGGGAAATAGTGGAACATATGGTCCAGCACTTTAAAACACAGATCTTTGGGGATCGGAAACCAGTGTTTGATGGAAGAAAGAATCTCTATACAGCGATGCCCCTCCCAATTGGGAGGGATAAGGTAAATTCACAGAGATGTGTTTGGATTAAACAATGTGCAATGAAGTAAAATTCAAACATGTTGTAAAGTTAATTATTCCTTTTGTCACATACTAAATCATTTCACCTAGGAGGAAAGAACTGCTAATTAGCTATGTGCTTCATCCTGAGATCCATAAAAAACTACTTTTCGTGTGTTGTGGTTTTCAGTGATAGAGGGTTAAGTTGTCCAGGTTCAGAGATAGGAGTTGAGAACTTCTTGAAACCACTAAACTTAAATGTAAGATGCACGCATACACGCACGCACATGCCACACACCACCACCAGACAGGAGCCTGGATTATGTGGTGGGATTATAAAGACCTACGGAAAAGAATGTTCATATAGGTGTAGGTGTATGTGAAATGGCAGTAAAACAAAGCTAATACCTGCTGTAGCCAGTGATTCATCTGAAATAATAATCATGATAATTAGTCAACCTGGGAGTAGTGGTTGTTTTAAAATATCTCCTTTTCTTGTTGTGTTTATCCTTATCATGGCTTTATTTAAAAATTAATAAAATTTCTGCCTAGAAGTTGTTACTTCTTGGCATATTTTTTGACAAATGGGCTGCTCTAGGGTGATGATGGGTGTTATTTAGTAAAAGAAGAACAGAGACTCAGCTCAGAAATAATCTTTACACTTAAAGACTTAAAACAAAACAAAACCGTAGTAACTTAACAGCCATCCCAACGAGAACAAAAAAGCAGATTCCTTTTGAGAACGACCTACACAATAGCTTCTTAAACCCCCAGGTCCCCGAGCAGCAACACAGATCAGCATTTACAGGATCTCACACTGCTCTCTTGTGACCTGCAGGTTCTCTACAGGCATTCAGTTTTTTTGCTTTTGCGTTTTAATGATAATCTTTATTATTACTATTATTATTATTATTATTATTATTTTTTAGAGATCTAAATTAGGCCTGTTTATTTTCGTCTTTAGAAGAAAATTATTACTTATTTTTAAATACTCAGGTGTTCATGTGGGTTATGGTAACCAAATAGAGATAATATGATGAATCTAGATTTGGCTTTTAATTTTAGTTCTGCATCTGGAATCCAGTGGTGATGGGGAAGACAAAAACTTCCCTTGTCTTATTAGTCTTTCTTGACCACACTATTTACATGAGTCTTGAATGTGTCAGGCGTTTTCGGACTTCCCGTTTGCAATTCCCCTTTCTTCTTTTTCTTCTTCTTTTTTTTAATGAGAAGTTTCGCGTGCACAATATTATAATTCGACTTCTGTATACACTACAGCGTCCTCACCACCAAAGTCTAGTTTCCGTCTGTCACCATACAGTTGACCCCCTTCACCCATTTTGCCTCCCCCCGCCCCCTACCCTCTGGTAACCACCAGTTTGTTCTCTGTATCTGTGTGTTTGTTTTGTTTTGTTTGTTCGTTTATTTTGTGTGTTTTTCCTATTCCACATGTAAATCATGTAGTATTTGTCTTTCTCTGCTTTTTTAATGGCAATCTTGAAATGGCTAAGCTCCTTTTGCCCATTGGCTGGCCAGCAGGCCGGGTGATCTTAGTGCACGGCAGTATGGCTCGGAGTTGCCGTGTTCTGATAAGAGTGGGGTACATTAGGGCTGAGGGAAGGTGATAAGGGCTCTGTACCAACTGGTCTTTTGGTGATTCTGAGAGATAACAGTGGGGCATCGCTGGGTATTGCTGGGTGCGGGTGATTGACATCCATGTTCCGAATTAGAGGGAATCCTGGGACCATACGCCTGTCAGCTGAGTAGGATCACCCCTTGCAAATTAGCTTGCTGGGCATTTGAAATGTATTGATTATAAAGTTTGTGTTTAATTTGCACATTTGTTTTTGTTTAATGTTGTATAAGAAAAACGCGTGAGGAATTTATTCACAGTTTTGTCTGTATATATTTATAAGTAGACACTAGGAGGGGCATAGGAATATTTTTCCTTCAGAAGGGGTGGAGGAGTCAGTAGGGTATTCAAATTTGAAACATGTCGTTGTAGAAGTTATCACAGGCTCCAGGGTAAAAATAGATCTGATTCCAGTCCTTGCTTTGCGTTTACTCATGGTGGGACCTTAGGTAAGCCACTTGACCTTGCCAAGCCTCAACTGCTACACCTATAAAATGGGAAGATTGTGTAGAAACTGCCTCCCAGGGTCCTTGTGAGAACTAAATGAGTGAATATACCCCAAGAAGAGCTTCTCCACTTTTAGTGTGCTTCCCGCCTTCGTCCCTCTGTTAAAATGCAGGTTCTGGGGAATTTACATTTCTAACCAGCTCCCAGGTGATGTCCATGCTGCTGGTCCCAAATCATACTTTGAATTGTCAGGGTTTAAAGTTCTTAATTACAACACCTGGGACATATACACACTTAGCAGATACTAGTGGTTACTGTTACCAGTCTAAGGGATCTGTATCTGTCATCCTCACCCACGTTTCTCTGGGGTGCCCTCATGCCCACAGTAGCCCTTCATACCTACTGCCCAATACCTAGTGGCGACTCAGTGTCTCTTAAATTTAATCCCACCTATGCTTGTCCTTTTTTCAGATGAGCTTAGAGAACTTACCCAAAGCCACAGTGTTTGGTTAGCGTAGGGTCTCCTGATTGCAGACCAACCCTTCCACTCATTTTTAAGGTTCTGTCAAATATTCGTGATATGCAGAAATTAATCTCTTCCGTTTGATAGCTAATGTGATGTTACCCTTTCCTGTTCCCATACATTCACATCTTGTAGCAAAGTGTCATCTTTTCTTGTTGCTGTTTCTTTTAAATTTGCTCTTTTTTCTGGAAAGTACTTTTCTTTGTATCACGCTCACTTCTGTAGTAAGAGAGAAAATCCTTTAGTGTCCCGTTAACCCCATGTCTGCCAGTGGCTGGATGGGGGCTGCAGGTGGCTCTCAGCCCGGCTGGCACACAGAAAGTGTCCTGTGTCCCATGACCTTACTCAAGGAAGGCAGCTCTTGTTATCTACTCTTTTTTGGGTTTTTTTTGTTTTGTTTTGTTTTTTTTTGTGATGAAGATTAGCCCTGAGCTAACATCTGCTGCCAATTTTCCTCTTTTTGCTGAGGAAGATTGGCCCTGGGCTAACATCCGTGCCCATCTTCCTCTACTTCATATGTGGGATGCTGCCACAGCATGGCTTGATAAGCGATGCATAGGTCTGTACCAGGGATTTGAACCTGTGAACCTTGGGCTGCAGAAGCAGAGTACATGAACTTGACCTCTGTGCCACCGGGCTGGCCTCTTTTGTCATCTACTCTTAATTTTCCCTACTGAAATACTAACCCATCTGCCTTAATTCCAGCCCTTGTGTGGAAGGAGAGAGCCACTCCATTAGGGCTGAAAGACCCTGTGATCCAGGCCAATACCTCACTTTTCAGAATAGGAGACTGAGGAAGTTGTACAAGTTGCTCGCAATTTTGGACTTAACTCTTTGGTCCTCTTTAGCAGTAACATGACATGATTTGCAGGATTGTAATATGTCTCATTTGTTGTTTTGGCGCTGGGATCGGCCCTGGGCCTCCCCTTGTCAGCTCTGCAGCTTCCTGGAGCTACAGTCTCTCTCTGTTTATTCACAGAAGGTGTAAGTGCCTCCTTCCTAGAAGGAAGTGGCATGTTAGGCCAGATGCACAACTTGAATCCTTAACAGACCCTGCGTGGAAGGCATTCACTGTGGAGAACACCAATTGCACAATATTCGCTGCACAGTGCTCCTGCCTATTCACCCCGTGTCCCAGATTGGGCGTGCTGGGGCCACAAGCGCCCAGCTGGTGACTGCTGGCCTAAAATGAGAGATGTTGGGGCTTCTGAGCAGGGCAGTGGAGTTTCTGCACTTGGAGGGTCAGGAGGTTTGAGGGGAGGGCAGAGGTGATAGGGGGCAAGGAGCTATCCCTGGGGTCCCCTCCTTGGGTGGCACACAGGTAAAGGGTCTGCTCAGCCTTATCTGCTCTTCTTTGGGATCATCCTTCTGCCTTTTGGGGCTGAGGGTCCTTCCAGTGAAGCGCAGCATTTGTCAAGATGCCTTGAACCCAGCCGGCCCGGGTCAGAGGCGCTCAGCAAGTGTTGCTTACACCTAACAGCAGCCACTTGCTGTACCTGCTGGCTTCACCTGCCAGGAGTGACTGAATTCCCAGTAAGACTGTGGTTTTTGTCCAACATAATTTGGAGGGGCAACAATTTGCTTTTCGAAGATATTCATTCCTGTGCAAAGTCACAGAAGGCCTTCAATATCAGCTCCCTGTGCACATTTAAAACAAGATGTGACCTGCATGTCCCCTTCTGGAAAGGGCCCATGGCATGGGGCCTGGCAGCTGTGGTCCTGGCACGGGGTCTCGCTACAGGCCCTGGGGAGGGCCTGCTCAGGGTCTGGACGAGTGCAGTGGCCCCATGGCCCTGCCAGCGCTGTCACTCCTTCCTTAGGAACAGATGGCAGCCAGAGTATGGGGCCTCGTCCCGCACAACAGCCGTTTTGGACAAGAAAACCCTATTGAAACACAGCTGCTTTTCTGTGCGTTCTCTCCTAACTCCGTACACAGTTTCTTCATGTTCTTTACAGGCTGTTTTCCTTTCCTGTGCTTCCCAGCTGTGTAGGCGCCACAACAGGGCTTTTCCCATTACAGTTCTAATTCTGTCACCCTGGTGCCTTTCAAACAAAGGGTGTTGAGTGTGTGGTTGTGGTCTGTCCGTGAGATTGAATTTCACAGCTGTCTCTCCGCTTTCCAGGCCCTGGACTGGTGCCGTTTGCTGATACTTTGGTTGTCCATGTGGAGGAGGTGGCAGTTGTAGCATTCTGGTGTCACAGGCAGCTTCGTACGGGTGCTGGCATCCTGGGTTGGCACACGCACTCTGTGCGGCAGGCGGGCTGCCCTCTTGTCCCATATGTACAGACAGGGAGCCTGATGGAGCCACCTGCCCGTGGTGAGACCACAGGAGGTTACAGAACTGGGAGCCACCACGTCCTGTGGACCTCCAGTGAGTGGCCTTTGGATGCTGCGTTATTGGGACCAAGAGCTTTAGGCTGTTCAGAGATTGAAGCATCTTGGTCTGTGGACCAACTCTGCTGGCCAGTAGCCCAGACAGACATGAGGACTGTTCTCAGGCTTGTATCACAGCTGACACCCAGTGCCACCCTGCCCGTGTGATGTGACATTTCAGTTGAAATCTCCATTATCCCTAAGCTATTAGGTAGGTGTACCAGTCAGCGTCTCAAGACACTATGCCTGGCAGAGAACACTGTAGAGCCTAGGATTTCTTCTGTTCCCCTTTTATGGGGGCCAAGAGGAGGCTGGACTAGAATCTATTTAAAAATATAAGTATCTTTTGCTAAAGGAAATACACCCTTCTGAATCTCTCCTCAGTTTGACTGTAGAGGCATTTTTGAAGGATGACATTAACAAGCATCTAAGTAGTTACCAATTCACAGAATTGTTCTTTAGTTACACTAGGTTTACGCTGTTGGATAGAGTTGTACGCGATTAGGCTTCAGGTGCCTACTGTGGAGGTTGGTGTGTAATGTGGAAGTTAGCATGGTGGTTCCCATTGATGTTCCACCTCCCACCTGTTCGCCGTGTCCTTGGCATGCCATTTCTGAACAGGTGGACCTACCTTCTCCCTGCTGACATTGGAGCCAGGTCTCTGTTGGTCCACACTGAGACCCTCCTCCCCACGCCCAGCCAAGCCACAGGCCATGGTCACATCGAGGCTCCATGTACTTTTCTGGAATCAGAGTGTTGGAGGTGGACACTCGCCTCTTACTGCTGCGTGACCTCAGCAACTCGTTCACCCTCTCTGGACCTCAGTTTCCCTAACTGAAAGTAAACACAGGCACGAGGGAGGCGGGAATGATAGGTTATTGGGTGAGTTGCGTAGTGCCTGCCACTTTATTAGTACTATGTTAAAAGCTAGCCTTTAGTTATTATTACTTTGATATGACTTACTTAAATTTTTATTATGAAATACAGTAAACAAAAAAATATGAAAAGAACAGTAGTGAAAAAAACGTCCGTGTACCCACCATCCAGGCCGAAACGTTCCCTCCTCCCACCCCCGAACCCGCCTCGGTGCTCCCCGATTGCGTTGCCTCCTCCCCTCCCCCACACACTGTCCTGATGACTCAGGTTAAATTGACCCTTTGCTCATTGGTTTTATCAGCAGTGTGTGTCCCTAATGCATGTTTTGTTCTAAAAGGAGTTGTACTGTGGTGTCCTTGTGTGGCTTGCTTCTTGTACTCGCTATTAGATACTTGAAATCCCTCCATCTTGAAGAATCTGTTCCTTGTTCACTGTGGTCTCCTCCCTTGGATGGACCTTGGCCGTGTTCAGTTTGGGGCCCTCAGGCATGGCGGTGCTCTAAGTGCTGTTGGGCGCATGGGCCTGTGCTACAGCATGCCTGGATAAAAAGGATGCGTCTACCGGGGCACAGATGTGCAGGCGACTTCCAGGCAGTCTGACTGCTGCTCTGGTCATGTTCGAACGAGGTGTAGCAAGTGCGTGAGGGAAGGAGCTCCTTGGGAGCTGAGGATGAGCAGACAGGAGTTGAGTACAGGCTTGCTAAATGAGCGAGGGAGTGAGTGAGTGAGTGAATGAAGGTGCCTGGTGTGGTCCAAATGCTTGACCTGGGACGGGATAGCTGGGTAGGAGTTTGCTGGGTGCCTGAGCAGGGAGGGCATCCAGGCAGGTGGCGCAGAAGCAGTGGGATAGAACCCCCTTCCTTCTGAGACTGGGAGGCTCAGGGGACCTGAGTAGGGTGGACGGTGAGGCTGGGCATGTGTGATGTGGCTGTGCATCTGTGTTGTGTTGCCCTGAGCGTGGCAGCCCCCAGGCCTGAGCTGAGGCTCTCCCGGCCCCCTGTCATCCTGGGCTGAGTGGAAGAGCTTTAGTGTCAGCCCTGCCAGGATCCCAGTCCCGCCTCTGCCCTTTCATAGCTGTGTGGCCTTTGGCTGGACTTGCAGCCTGAACATTTGTGTTTTTATGTATAAAAAGTGGTGAATAAAGTCTCCCTTACTGGGATTTTTGGACATTTAAGGATAAAGTATCTATAATCCATGACCTGTCAAGTAGACATTCCATAAACATTGGGAAGTATTATCAGCAAATACCGAAATTGCTTCAGTCACCAACTGAGTGGGGTTTGTGTATGCCATAAGTTCAGGAGGTATTCATCAGTTACAGTGTAATAATTTAACTACAGGGTTTTAAGTGGTGGAGTGAAGTGATCGGGTAAAGGTGGGTCTGGACATCATGTGGAACAAGGTAGTGGGGTGAGGGGTGATTCAGAGACTGGGAGGAGGAGAGAGAGAAATGGATTCGTTGTTTACTTCTAGGATTGAATCAATAGGGCACGCTGTTGACCACTGTCCAATACACGGGCAACTAGCCACACATGGCTATGTAAATTTAGATTCACTAAAAGTTAATAAAGCAAAAAATTCACTTTTCATTCCCACTGGCCACATTGCAAGTGCTCAGTGACCACATGTGGCCAGTGCCTACCATCCCAGGCAGCAGAGGAAGAGATCATTTCCATTATCACAGAAGGTTCTCTTGGACAGGGCTGTTACAGACCATGGAGCACTATAATATGGTAAATATTCTGAGGTTTTGCTAAGAATTTTAACTTCTTCCCAGGAATTCTAATTGGTCTTGTGGTATTTGAAGCTGTTTTCTCTGTCATTCTGTCCCTGGCGATGCCAGTCCTGCAGCATTTCCTGCGCCCTGACAGGGCACAGACAGTAGGACAGCTTCGCGGAATGCGTGTGTGGGGAGAGCCCAGCGTGTGACGTCCCCGCCGCCCACAGTCTTCATGCAAATACTGTGATCTTCCCCCATTTTATTGTAAATGTGTTAATCAGACAGAAAAGGCAAAGGAATTGTAGGATGCCTGCCCATCTAGATGCTACATTTGTTAGCATTTTGCTCTGTTAGTTTACCACATGTCTGTTCTGAGAAGACTTTTTGTTTGTGATTTATTCACTGCAAAACTAGCTTATGGAATCTTAAGGGACCCAGAAAATGGGAACCCCCAGACCCACTACAGCTTTCTCAGTTCCGTTGGGGAAACAGTGAGCTGCCCACGCCCCCTTCCTCTGTCCCAGGAGCAGCCTCAGCCTGTGCCTCCCACTCCCACCCCCACCCCCGTCACTGACCCCATCCCCTTCCTCTTCCTGGAGCGCCCTCCTCAGAGAGGCCAACCCGGTCCCCCAGGCTGAGCAGCTGCTGTACGGCTTCGCCCCCTCTGGCATTGCCTCCTCAGGATACCGTCTCTTGCCACTTGCCTCTCCTGGCTACTGCTGTGTATAGGACCGGGCACAGAGTAAGCACTAGATATCTGTGGAAGGAAGAGATGCCCAGGTCCGACTTCAGTCACTGGGCTGGTGGGCTTAAGGGGTGTCCACACACCCACACATATGTGGTCGATAAAGGACTGACTGAATTTCTCTAACCCAGGAATGTTCTGGAAGCTGACCCACTGCCTTCAACCCCCAATAGCTTCTTAAGAGGGAAGGGTAAATAACCATGTGCTCTGGTCCCTCACAGGTGGAGCTGGAGGTCACGTTGCCAGGAGAAGGGAAAGATCGCATCTTCAAGGTGTCCATCAAGTGGGTGTCCTGTGTGAGCTTACAGGCATTACATGATGCACTTTCGGGGCGGCTGCCCAGCGTCCCCTTTGAGACGATCCAGGCCTTGGATGTGGTCATGAGGCATTTGCCATCCATGAGGTGAGGACCAAAGAACCAGAAGCATCTGATTCTGACCCTGAGCATAACCTGGAGAATATGAGATCTCTGTCCGAGGAGGAGCTGATTCTTGGAGTCAGGGTGATGATGGTCATGTGGATTTCTATGATGAAAATAGTAGCAGTGCTAACATGGAAAAAAATTTAATATAAAAATAAATCACCAGAATTCTCAACCTAGCGCAAAAAGATTACCTCCCTGTCTTTGTGCACACTGGCGCATTGTTTTGTCACTCAGCCCAATATTGTGAGCGCTGTTCCGTTTCTCTGTCGCCTTCACACTTGGGCCTTGTACCAGTAGACTCGTATTCCAAGTACCATGCTTGACTGAGCTCCCACTATATGGAGGAGCCTCTCGGGACTGTAGGTGACACCGTGGAGGCCTCAGACTTTTGTGTTATTCTGTGGGATTGCTTTCCTACCACGTATCACCATGCTTCAGCTCGCTGGGGCAGAGGGTAGGTGGACACGTCAGCAGCTGGTGATGTGCCAGATGGCTGGGCAGAGGGCTGCACTGACCCCTGTGTGACAGCCATGGGTGACAAGGCCAGTTCACCACACCCAGACCTCGGGTTTCTGACCCAGGACGCCTGTTCCTTCCACACTCATGGCACGCAGTAGGGCTTCGGGAACTGTGTGAATGAACAAGCGAAAGAAGGAAAACCTAAAACTCAAACAAACCTCCACCTTGAGTTCTCCCAGTACTGACCAGAACTCTGCGGTTCGAGGGGAAAGTGAGGCTTCCTTTGTCCCTTCGTATGTGTAAGAGAAGGTGCCATGAGGCACCGTGTTAGAGTTTAAAGGGGGCCCTGAGTTCTCAGTCTTCAGACTTGGGCGGGGGTGACCAAATACAGGGCAGGCTGTCACTCCTGGCAGGGCTCCTCCCTCGGCCCCCAGCATATAATCTGTCACTGCTTGGAACTTTTGATGGGAGGAAGGCAGGTGGGTTCAAAAAAAAAAATCTAGAAAGATGATGGCCAAACTGTTGTTTTAAATGAATAGCAAGAATTATTGGGTTTTTATTTTCTGAATTCCTTTGAATTAATTACCATGATACTTTTATAATCAGGAGGAAAGTCAACTTTTCGCTTTGGAAAAATAAGAGAAAAAGGGGCAGGATTAACACATCTAAGGGGGAAAGTGAAAAGGGCCGTCTACATGGTCTGATTGATAATGTGGCCTGCAGGTGGATAATGTCACTGCTAAACGGCGTGTCTTCCCTTTGGAATCCTTAGTGATGTTGTGTCCTGGGTGACCAGGCACCGTTGGTGCCATTGCCTGGAGAATGTGTCTGCTTCACTCACGTGGCCTCTGACCCTCAGCACACTGTCAATAACTGGCCCTGGAGGGTGTGTGAATCTTCTCACACATCCACCTCACTGTCCCGCCACACGAGGTCCAAGCTGCTCACCTCTCACTCCCCGTATGTAAAGCCTCTCCATCAAGGGAGCTGAGAGAAACAGGGACTGGATGCCTGGGTGCTGCATCTTAGTGTGGTCCCCAAGGCCTGAGCCAGGCCAGTCCAGCTGCTTCCGCTGATCGTGGTTGGCATGCGGCAGATGCTCCTTGCATCTGCACTTGCACACGCAAGACAGATGTGAAGTGCTGTGCACAGATACATGTACGAGAGGATGAAGAGTAAGCATTAAGGCATCAAGGGGAGAGGAGGGTCGGGGCTCCTCCATGTGCTCGATGCCCGGTGCAGCCAGAGCCTGTCCTGGCAGCCATGTGTCCCTGAGTGGGAAGCACGGCGCGGGGGAGCCTGGCTCACAGAAAGTTCTCCCCGCGTCTCCACCATGTGTGATGCATTTAAACCTCTCTCGCTGTTCCTACAGCGAAGACATGCGTCCCCAAGGCTGCACTTTACACTGTGTCCCCCACAGTCAGCTGTGGACACAGGTGGAGTGCAGTTGAGTAACAGCAGCTTTAAATGGAGAAAAGGGCAGAATTATCGATGAATGTGAGTGTTAGCCTGCCTGATTGACATGGGTGAACAGTGAACATGGACTCAGCCTGTTCTTTCTCAAAGACGCGCCTGGTCAGACGAGGGGTCTCTTGTTTCAGGTACACCCCCGTGGGCCGCTCCTTCTTTACCGCCTCCGAGGGCTGCTCCAACCCTCTTGGCGGGGGCCGAGAAGTGTGGTTTGGCTTCCATCAGTCCGTCCGACCTTCTCTTTGGAAAATGATGCTAAATATTGACGGTAAGCAAAGCCCCGGTCTTTACTGTGGAGTTGAGTTGCGGGCTTGTGGAAGGGCCAAGACCTTGGGGAGGGCCTGTGCGGCCGGCTGCAAACAGGGCTTCTGTCAGAGCCAGAGATGCTGCGTCACGCCGGGCCTGCCTCGCTTGTTGGGTCGGGCAGTGGTTCTCAGACTTGACCGTCAGACCCACCTGCAGGGCCCACTCCAGAGACTGTGGGGGCCTGAGGTGGGCCTGGGGATCTGCATCTCTAACAAGTTCCCTGATGCTTCTGCTGGTGTACACTGGGGCAGGATCGAGTTTTCTTGGGGGGCTGATGAATGGACTCCCACTGCTAGGTCCCCTTTGTCTCACGTGTTCGTTTTCAGCCTGGTTGGCACGAGCACAGGGTAGCTGATTAGGTGTCAGCCCAGTCTGTCGCCTTCTGGCTGGTCTTCTTCAGGTTTGGGGGTCTCTTGGGAAATTCTCTGCTGCTTCTCAGTGTTGAGGCACACAGGGAATGGTAAACTAGAAAGATCTAGACCAGAAGGGAGTCAGAAAATCCAGGGCTTGTCTTGATCATCATCTGTTGGGTTTTTTAAAACCCAGTTTTATTCCTGGAGGGTGACTTTATCTCTAGACTCTACCAACCGTACTGTTGTCCCTGACTGGAGGGAGTGTCAGCAGCCCGTGACCAGGCACGAACCCCCCTCTGGCTCTGTCCCATCTCTGAGGCCTGAGGGTGAACTCTGCGGACAGTGAGACCGGAGGCCAGACATGCCATCCCTGGCCCACAGCAGGCACTCCAGGCTGTTGGGGGCTTGGCCGTGGAAAGGGCATCATTGAGCCGACCTTGGTCATTGTTTTGCTTTTGTATCTTTCTTTTCCCACCTACAGTCTCAGCAACAGCGTTTTATAAGGCACAGCCAGTGATCGAGTTTGTTTGTGAAGTTTTGGATTTTAAAAGTATTGAAGAGCAACAAAAACCTCTGACAGATTCCCAAAGGGTGAAGTTTACCAAAGAAATCAAAGGTAACTCACTGCCCGATGCGTCCTCACCACACATCGTGAGTTCTTGCTCCTGCACGTGTTTCTGAGGGGGGCGGAGGCAGCAGGAGAAGTGAGCCATCAGATGCATTAAACCCATTTCACAGAGTGGGAATAATAATGTTCTAAATAAATGACTTTCTGGGTGGGGTGAGGAGCAGGTCGGTGAGCCAGCAATGTCCGAGTCATGGATGGTAGGACCGGAGGGCAGCAGCATGGTTATGATCACTGTCTCGTGACGTTCTCGAACTGGAGGCGAGTTCTCGTTCCTGTCATTTAACCCTCACAAGCCTGGCCATGTCTGTACCCACTGAAGCTGATTTCCACTCAAGGAAATGCAGTCTAGGGTCCGTGACCTGGCTCGGGTCCTCTGCCCGTCACTGGAGAATTGGCAGGCACCATCGCGTTCTCCACGCCCCTCTGCACCTGTCCTTTTCTGAGGGCATTCTAAAGGCCATCAGCAGTACTCGTTGCTAAAAATAATCCTCAAAGAAGCACAGAAAGCCGTGCTGGCAGACGCCGTGCTCTCAACTGAGCCCACATAGTCTCCCTTATGTTTAAGAACAGTGTCCTGACTCCAGCTTTGGCATTTCTGGGACGGAAGGCATCCCTGTGGGTGAGATGGGCCCAGCCCAAGTGTCACCTCCCTCTCAGGGCAAGAGAGCCCTGCAGCTGCTCCAGAATGCCCTCGATGTGGGTCTGTAGGTGCGGTTCCTGTAAAAACTGATCTGAAAGTGGGCGTTGAGCTCCAGGGATGAGTCTTGGACGCTGAAGCCCAGCTGTTCTGTGTTGCCAGGTCTAAAGGTGGAGATAACGCACTGTGGGCAGATGAAGAGGAAGTACCGAGTCTGCAATGTGACCCGGCGGCCCGCCAGTCACCAAACGTAAACGGCCTTCTTTTCAAACTCATATCAGCTCTGACCTTCACTGTCACTCAGATGTCCAAACTCTGGAGCAGTGACTCTTCTGGAAAGGACTTTTATTCTAGTTGTGAAATTCCAAAACTATACCTTTGGCTCAGTCAGTTCCAAACTTCACCTAATGAAATAAAATAATGAAATTCCACCTGTATGGGAGGGGAGGGGAGGGGAAGGTGGCTCCCTGTCGATTTTCATTCTTTAATTTTATAGGCAAGAGAATGGTCTTTTTTGTTTGCTTTCCAATCCTCAGTGCTGAGGGTGGTCCTGGAGGGAGTGGGGATCATTAGATGAGGCCCAGATTTACAGGCACAGCCCAACCCAGGCTGATACTGGGCATCTGTCTTGTGCTGTATCCTCTGCTGTTACTTCATGAACAGTTTGGGATCCAAATCCATGAAATAACTAGCCTGGCCACAAGGATACAGTGCTGTCTTAGGTTGTCTGTGTTCATTTGGGAGGAAAAGTAATATATTTGGCCCCTGCACCACACCTTGAGGTCCCCTGGGTCCAGTGAGGACTCATTTGTTTCTTTCATGGTCATTCCGTAGAAAAGGCCTGCTCTGTCGCTGGGCACTGGGGATACCAAGATGCCCAGCGCCCTGTTGAGCAGGAGGGTGAGATAAGCCTGTGTGCTGGTCTCTATGATCTCCTCCCACTGGTCAGAGTCTACAAGGATTGCCCAGCAGGCTGGGCAGAGCAAGGGAGTTGGCAGACATCTCCTGCCCTGACCCGGCACGGAGGCCCACCCACCTGTGCGTGCAGGACACCACCACGTTCTCCCATCCCTACACACAGGCTTCTCCTGCCGTAGCTCACCCACGTGTTAGCTGTGGATGCCCAAGCAGACCTGGCTGTCCCTTTCTTTAGCCTGTCCTGGAAGGTTTCAGGTTCTCTGGGTCGGGCACTTGGAGCACTCAGCCTGTAAACGACTTTCAGAGTCAGTCACGGTCCGTGGTCAGCTGGAAAGTGAACAGGCCTTTCTTCATTTGCCCTGAATCCCTTACATGTACTGTAGCCACAGTGTGTCGTTTGTAATTATTGCATATTGTAGGCATGTAAATATTTTTTATTTCTTAACTCCAGAGATAAAACAAAAGTTTAGGGACTCAGGAATATTCCATATAACCCAGAGGGTGCGATTTGGTTTTGATCCCTGGGAGGTGCTTTGAAGATTTGCTCCCCACGCATCACCCTACACCTTCTTCAGCCTTCAGAAAGCAGACCCATGAGAGCAGCCCTGGGTGAGCAGGTGTCTGCAGGGCTCTGCTGCCTGTCCCCTGGGGGGACCCTGGGGAGCTCTGGGCCTGAGCCACCTCTTTGCTTCCCTAGATTCCCGCTGCAGCAAGAGAGCGGGCAGACGGTGGAGTGCACAGTGGCCCAGTACTTCAAGGACAGGCACAAGCTGGTTCTGCGCTACCCCCACCTCCCATGTTTACAAGTCGGACAGGAGCAGAAACACACCTACCTTCCCCTAGAGGCAAGTCCCACCTCCCTCGCGTCTCTGTGGGCTGGTAGAACTTCTGTGGGTAGGGGGCTGTGTAGCCTAGACAAATGGCGAGGGCCCCAGTCAGCACCCAAATTTGGTCATCCCTGCCACTGTGGGACCTTGGACAGGTTAATGGATGCCGTCTAGCCTCAGTTTCCCCATTAATAAGATGGGCTTGATAACTCATAGGATTCATATGAAGTTTGAGAGCATGGGACCTGCTGGGCACAGAGTAGAAAGTGCTCAGAAAATATACTCTTTCTTTCTTCTTTTCTTGTCTAAAATTCACTTCTTGTTTGAAAAATCCTCACCTTGGAAAAGATCAAATGCTGAAACTAAGACACAAGTTTTTTTTTCTGTTAGTGTTTTAAATTCTTGGTTCTGGTCCAATTACTCAAACATCTAAGGCCAGGTTTTTCCCATGCCATGGTCCAGAAGGTAGACTTCCTTTCCATCAGCACACAGCTTTATACTCCCATGTTCTGAGGACAGAGAGTCCACAAAACCCAGCGTCAGGACACCGACCTGCTGTGCTGGTGGGTGGTCTCAGAGGCTATGCTTTCTTTTACCAGTGCACTTCCTGACTCGTGTTTCTGCTATGCTGGGTTTACTTAGTGGGGGATTTCTCTTGTCAACCAAAGGGCTGTGGAGCAGCCCTGCAGGTATGCCATTCCTTGTGGATTTCAGGAACAGCCACCCCCACTGGTATTTGTGGGGCGTTTGACAGTTTACACACAAGGAATAGATGTGTCATAGGCAGAGCCAGGACACTAGTCCTCGTGCTCGGCCTCAGACCTGCACCAGCTGCCTGAGCACTGCTGCTGACGCCGTGTTTGTGCATCTTCTTTGTAGGTCTGTAACATAGTGGCAGGACAGAGATGTATAAAAAAGTTGACCGACAATCAGACCTCAACCATGATCAGAGCAACTGCCAGGTCAGCACCCGATCGGCAAGAAGAGATCAGCAAACTGGTGAGTGTCACATCCTCAGGGCCAGTCCTAGGGTGGGGGTACCCTCGGGAATCCAGTGCCCAGGACAGGGAACTCCTAATGCTTTGGACAGACATGGCTTCTAGAAAGAAGCAAAGACCACCTCTGACTCTGTGCCTTTTCTTTCTTCCATTTTCAAGATGAGAAGTGCAAGTTTTAACACAGATCCTTATGTTCGTGAATTTGGAATCATGGTCAAAGATGAGATGACAGATGTGACTGGGCGGGTCCTCCAGCCACCCTCCATCCTCTACGGGGGCCGGGTACGTGGAAGGCTGGGCCAGCAGAGTGTCTTGTGGGTGTTTGGAGCGTGTGTCTGCAAGTTGATGGTAGAGCTGCAGCATTTGACCCCTTTCAGGTTGGAACCAGCACCAGAGGTGTAGACCATGGTCAAGGTAAAGGACTCTTTCTCCTCTCCTCTGAACCTGTGACAGTTACAGGGCTTTGCAAAGGGCTGGCTTTCCTTGGACCTCTGTAAAGATTGCCCAGGGATTATCACGTATTTTTTTCACCCTTTCTTATGGAAATAGCATATTAAATACACTCTGTGCCGTGCTTTTTTTTTACTTGGTATTTTCTCTTAGAGCCCTTAGACATCTTGGCGATGATTCCATATGGATGTGACAGTGGCTCCTTCTTTTTGACTGTTGCATGGGTGCCCTGTCCCAGCAGTGGGCATGGGAGTGCTCCCCGTTTTCTGAAGGAGGACTTCAGAGCAGGGCCTCTTGGCTCCTTCTCAGCTCACATGTGCACCTACTATGCCCAGACACTGTGCAAACAAGCCGCTTTTTAACCCCCCTGGCAACCCTAGGAGGAAGGGCATTTGAATCCCTTTCACAAGTGAAGAGATGGCCAGAAAGAGGGCGAGATTCACGTGGCCGTTACGTGGTAAAACCAAGATTGCAGATGCAGTGTTTTTTCATTGCCCCTGCACTCATCTGTTTCATCAACTTTCCATCTCTTGGTAAAGAAAGGAGTGGTCTCGAAAACAAAACAGCTCTTGTAATCTAACCTTGCAAAAATATTAGAATTGTAGGGATTAAAAATTTATAATTCTTCTACATGAACAGATTTCTTCGGATCTCTGAAATATTTTAATGGGAACAAACATTCCTCATCACCTGCCCTACCCATTGTCCACTGTTAGAGCAAAACTTTAAATGTCTCCCAGGGGACATTTGGCAGTGTCTGGAGACTGGCATCTGGTGGGCAAAGAGTGCTAACATCCTGTGTGCACAGGACAGCCCCCTGACCATCATCCAGCCCAGATGTCGGGAGTGCTAAGGGTGAGAGACACATGTACAGTCAGAGCCTGTTTTTATTAAAACTGTGTGTGTGTGTGTGTGTGTGTGTGTGTGTGTGTGTGTATTACTAAGTCTGGAACTTGGTGCTGGCCAGACTTGCTGCTGGCTACTCTTACAGAAGGAGGCCAGTGAAAGCAGGGCAGTAGTTATAAAAATATAGGAAACGAAAGCATTCATTTCTATAACATTTGATTTTTACAATAGGCTTATATTACTTTTGTAAGAAAAAAATGTTTTCTGCTAAAAACACTTCTGCAGGGTAAATGACAGCAAGTCAGTTGCAGCCCTGCCCTCCTCCACATGGCCCTTCCTGACCATCCCTCATCTGCCAGAATCACTTGAAGGCAATTCAGAGATTACTTAGGTGACATTGTTGGGGCCTGGTCCTTTCTGGTTGAGATGACAAAATTAGGTGGATGCGTTACTTGCTGCTTCTCTTTCCAAATGGAAGTAGCTTTGTGGAATGTGGGGTGTGGAGTAGAGAGTGATGGGCTCAGTCCACTTCCTGGCCACAGGACTGGAAAGAAACACCTTGACTTCTCTTCCCTTTGCTGGCTGCCTTGTTGGTAATGGATGAGGTAAAATAAACAAGAGCATTTTATAAATCAGGAAGCCTTCCTATAGCATCACAAGGCACTGCCATTCTTCCAGGCTGCCCACGAGGTTGGATGGAGCTCTGGGCCCTCTCTGCTCTCCTGCTTGGCCCCCGTCCGTCCTCTATCTACCCCTCCCTCCAACCATCCTTTTGTCCCTCTCTCCGCTCATCATCTACCCCTCCACTTCTCCATCCCTCTGTCCATCCTACATCCATCCATCCATCCATCCATCCTGCAAATGTATGTGGACCGACTGTAGCACTAGGCAGCTCAGAAATGGGACACTACATAAAGCTTCAGTTCTTAGCCTCAGGAGCCACCCTTTGGTCAGGGGGACCAATAGCAGTAGAGATAGTGACAAAATCCAAGGTCAGAGGAATATGTTTCCCATTTTTTCTCACTCTAAACTTCTTGTCATTTGCAGAATAAAGCGATTGCCACCCCTGTCCAGGGCGTCTGGGACATGAGGAACAAGCAGTTTCACACGGGCATTGAGATCAAGGTGTGGGCCATCGCGTGCTTCGCCCCCCAGCGCCAATGCACGGAAGTCCACCTTAAGTAAGGCCACTTGAGGAACAGAAGCACCTGGCCTTAGATGGACAGGGACAGAGTGACTGCTGGGATGGCCCACTCTCTCTGGGGCTGGGGAGCAGGGTTTGTGAGCTCAGTTTTGATCGCAGGGGTTGGCAGCGTCTCTCTGTCAAAGGGCACTTGCTCAGGGTGGACGGGGCCAGGAAATGTGGGCCACCTCAGTGCTGCTGTTACTTCTCGGACCCGTTATTGAAGTGAGTGTGGAGAAGTAGTGCAGATTATGTAAGAAACAAAACAGCAAATGAAGAATAAGTTTAAAAATTAGAAGCAAAAGAGAAAATTGCCTTCAGTTAACTAAAATTATTTTTAAAAAACACTTTAGTTTCATATTTTTTTATCAACCCAGCCTGGCCCAAGCATCGGACCCTTTGGAAGTAGCACCATAAACATGTAGCTTTGTCGCTCATGCTTTTGTGCCAAACAAACCCAACAGGATAAAGAAAGCTTTTGCTTCCCACCTCTCTTGAGAGGAAGCAGGAGGAAAACTGCAAAGCCTGAGAAGTGTAGCAGATAAACATTTCATCAAAGGATGATTCTGAAAAGCTGTGGCTCTCAGAAAGTTCTCGAGAGCTGTCTGTCGGAGACTGCCTTTCCTCCACACCGCCAACAAAATGAGCTGGCGCTTATTCAGCCGGAAGCACAGGGAGGGCTTGGGAAAGAGGCTGAAGGTTGGAGTCTGGACGCCAGGCACCTCTCCTCCCTGCTTTCTGTCCTCGGCTTTCATTTCATTTGCCTGGAGCTGGATGGCCCCGATGTAAATTCACATGTAGATAGAAGTGCAGGTGCACACACACATTTCCTTAACTGCATGCGTGTGGGAGGTTGAACACTAACTGGCTAGGTTGGATTGGAATGTCCTTACCCTTATTTGTAGAAGGCAATGCTATTTTTATTCGTAAGCTTAAAATAGAAGCCGTCGATCTGTCTCCCCCGCCCCACCCATGACTTCACCAGGCTCGTTGGTGGCAGCTGCCAGTGTTACTCTAGCTGTGGGTTGTTTTGTTTTCTCCCATGATTATGTCATCCAAGTCCAAGTTGTATACATGAGAATAACTGAGGGGAAAAGATCCAAGGGCGCAGTCAGCTCACAGTTTTCTTCACTCTGACAGTGCTTGGCCTTCCCAGACCCAGTGTGCTGGCTGTGTTCCGAACCAGAACTCGGGGCTGGTCAGGCCTGCTGAGCGGGTGGCAGCTGCTCCATGCATTGCTTTAAAAGGACAGCTCTTGTCACTGCACACTGGGAGCGTCACAGCTGGTGTGGCAGCGTGGATACGATGTGAAGTCTTCTATTTTATCGTAGCAGAATAGCCGTGTGTGACTTTTCAGGAAGCTACGTGTATGCCTGGCATCTGTCACCTTTTTCAGGAGTTAACATGTTGAAATGGCTTTGTCCAGGACTTAGATTCTGATCTCAGTAGGAATGGTTTTGGGTTTGGTTCTGTTAAAATTGTGCCCTTTACTTAGGTGCTCTGGTTGGTCTGAATTCTTTGACACTCGTAGCTCATTTGGTGTAATGCACCATCTCCTTCAGGTCCTTCACAGAGCAGCTCAGAAAGATCTCAAGAGACGCTGGAATGCCGATCCAGGGCCAGCCGTGCTTCTGTAAATATGCCCAGGGGGCGGACAGCGTGGAGCCCATGTTCAGGCATCTGAAGAACACATACGCCGGCCTTCAGCTGGTGGTGGTCATCCTGCCTGGCAAAACCCCTGTTTACGGTAGGCCTTTGGCAGTGGTCTGACCTGTGGGTGCTCATTGCACCCCTTTGTGTTTGTGCCGCTCTGAGGAGGAGCTCGATTCTGGCCCATGCGTGAGCTGAGAAAGACAAGGTGGTTTCTGGTCACTGCCAGGCGAGTGCTCAGGGCTGCCCTCGCCAGTCTCGTATGAGGCCACGATTCCTGGAAGCCAGCACGTGTGCAGTCATCTTGTCCAGCGCCTGACTCAAATGTTGGCCGGAAGGAAGGACATTCATTCAGAGCACTCAGGGTGATCCGCTAGGTGGCCGTCTGTTTATAATCTCTGTGCCCGCCTCAGAATTCTCTAGAAGTTCTTCTGAGTCCTTTATGCCAGAAGGGCAGTTGCACATTCATTCAGCTCAAATTTACCAAGCCCCTGTGACGAGGTCCCAGGCCCTGGAGAACACAGAGATAAATCAGACAGCCCTCCGTTCCAGAAGCTCCCAGGGTTGGGGGAAGAGACCTGTAGACAGCGATCACACAGCAGGGCAGCAAGCGCTCTCTGAGGTCTGTCAGAGAGCACTGTGGGATTCCAGCGGCTCCGGTGAGGGGGTGTTTGGAATGCGAGCCTGTGGTGTGTGGGGGCAAAGGGCAGAGGGTGAGACTTGGTTGGTGTCGCCAACCCATTCCCTGTCTAGGCAGTGACAGAATGCAGACATATAAAGTCACGCTTCTCTCCTCCAAGGTACATATCCAGAAAAAAGAGGGAAAGAGAAAGCCCTTGTGGTTTCCATCCTGTTAATATTCTCCCAGGAGTCACCCTGTTTCCACAAGACTGCCCAGGGAACAGGTGACCAGTTGCTTCATGAAAGAATCCAGAAACGGGGATGTGGGCCTAGATAGCTCTTTAATGATAGCTCAGATTTGCATTTGCCGAGGATTTTGAGGATGCTGCTGTTTTTATTTTTAACTGCTCAAGCATTTGCTTGTAACCCTGAGCGCTGTGATAGAAGGTGGCATTCCTGTCAGGATGCCAAGCCCTCAGTTCCAGACTGGCTCTGCCCGTGCCGCCCTGCAGCCCTAGATAAGTCATTGAAACAATCGTCACTCTTGAATAAGGAGGGAGCCGTACTCACCCAGCCTCACTGATGAGTGAGGGTGAGACTTCCATGGGTAGTGCAGGCGTGGGCAAGGCAAGAGCCACGACTGGAGCCTGGTGCCCTGACCTCCCTCTGCCTGCCAGTCACCCTCTTCCACAGGTTAGCTACAGATGGTACTGGCCAAAAAAGCCTGATGCAGTTGCCATGATTGCTCATTTGCGTGTGCCTTTGCAGGTTCCACGTGGGGCAGGCGGGGGCTGTTAGGGCAAGCTAAGGAAGGGGCGCCAGCGAGAGCTGTCACGTGTGTACCTTTTGTGCTCCACAGCTGAGGTCAAGCGTGTGGGAGACACAGTGCTAGGGATGGCCACACAGTGTGTGCAGATGAAGAATGTGCAGAGGACCACGCCGCAGACCCTGTCCAACCTCTGCTTGAAAATCAACGTCAAACTGGGAGGCGTGAACAACATCCTACTGCCCCAGGGGAGGTAAGGGGGGCCCTTCAGCCTGGGGTGGAGCAGTTAACTGCAGGATGCCCAGTGGGATGGGGGTGGTGCACAGGTAGGTGGGGTCCATTCACCTATGCCGAGCTCACTTTCCTAGCCGCATCAGATAAAGGAAATGAGTAAGACGCAGGTCCCGGCTGCTCACGGTCTAGGGGACCCTGGGCATCTGTGGGTCATTGAGTGCCATGGCCAGGCTCTCTGAGAGAGACGAAGACAGAGTGCAGGGGCCCGGGGGCCTGCAATGTGAGACATGGTGGCTGCACCATGAAAGAGGATGAGCAAGGCAGAGCAAGGAGCCAGGAGATGGGCTCCTTGAATGAAAGTTCGTCTCCTGGAGTGGGGAGCTATGGCTGCTGTGTAGACTGGAGTACCTCCTGTGCCTCCGAAGCCAGGCTGGTACTGGATGCTGCCTGATGCTGCCAGTGCTGGGAACGTAGCCCTTTGGACTGAAAAGCTCTGCATAGGAGCACGCTGTCGGCGGGTTTCAGGCCAAGGCCAGGATCTGTGGCCAGGTGCTGGGGGCCAAGGGGAGGGAGGTTGGAGCTGCAAGGTCCTCGGGTACCTCCTGGGCCTGGCATGCAGCCCCAGGTGCTCGAGGGCAGGGCCAAGGTTAGCTTTTGCTCCTCCTCAGACCACCAGCCTCTGATGCAGGCAAGAAGAGAGGTCTCCATAATGAGAGATTGTGGAGGAAATTTTATCGTTGAAGAATCCCAGCAGTTGTCTTAGTATTTGAATGGCAGATAGTAGTGCAGTCATGTTGTTTGACACATTTGCCCTTCACTGACTCAGACTATCCTGGTGTGAAAGTGGTACTCATGAAGACAGTAGGCAGTCATTGCTTCTTTCGTTTATTCGGAAAATAGGCATTATTCCGCACTAACTGTGTGCAGAGCCCTCTAGCCTGCCCTGAGGTTACCCCAGTGTTGGCACACACCTGAGTGAGCATCCGAGTCAGCTGCAGGCCTTGTTAAACCACGGAGGTTCTGATCCTGTCTGGATTAGGACCCAAGTACCTGCCTTGCTAGCAAGTTGCCAGGTGGTGCTGATGCTGCTGGTCCAGTGAACACACTTTGAGAACCACTGAGTTACACTGTTGACTGGAGGGAGTTGGTTGAATTTATTAGGAGGCAGCATGGTAAACTGGAAAGAACCCAAATTTAGAGTCTGACACGCTTGAACCTGACTGGCTCTGCATTGAGGGGCCATCGACTCACTCAGGGCACGCGAGTGAGGACCTGTCAAGAGCAGGTGGTGAACTGAAAGTGCCGTTCACTTGGTCAGCAAGTCCTGTGTTGATTGAGTGCCTACTGTATGCCAGGAGTTGGGGCCAGAAAAGGGAGGACAGGGACCAAGGTCCTAGTCCTCTAATGGAAGGACCCGTACAAGAGGGTCCATAACTGTGTCATATATGGCTTTACAGGTGAGCAGCAGTGACATAGTGGGAGGGGCAGGAGCTCGGGAGGGTGAGCAGCTGGGGTTTATATGGGGGTCTTATGGAGAAGATGGCACCGAGCAGACAGCAGGCACCGAGGGCGCACACATGTGGATGCCTGTGAGAAGAACATTCCAGACAGGGTGCAGGCCATGCAAGGATCCAGTGGTGGGAGCCTGCCAGGAGGGTTGGGAATTGTTCTAACGAAGGACTGAGGGGCAGAGGGCTGGCCAGCAGGGGCCTGAGGGCTGCTGGGGTCCTGGGGCTCCCTCTGGGCAGGATGTGACCATTGGAGGTTCACAAGTGAAGGTGTGGTCTGGCTGACCTTGTTCTAAAGGCCACTTCGGCTCCAGGTGGAGTGGGGACCAGGAGACCCCTGCGTTATCCTAGGAGAGGCGCTGGTGGCAATGGTGAGCGGGGGCCGCCGAGAGACAGGGACGTTTTGAAGATGAGCTGCGGGGCTTGCTGATGGCTCGGGTTTGGGCTGGTGAATGAAAGAGGAGCATCAAGGATGAATCCGAGGCTCTTGGCCTCCGTATCTGCAGAGACAAGGCAGCCTTCACAGATGAGAAAGCTCCGAGGGCTGTGCCGAGACGAGCAGGTTGGCAGGAGGCGTGTTGGCCTCCAAGAGGAGATAATGGGTGGACAGGAAAAACAGTCTGGTGTCAAGGATGTATGTTTAGGGGTCCCTGGGTGTAGAGGTGATATTTAAGGTCATGAGACTGGTGAGATCCCTCAGGGCAGGGTGTAGACAAAGAAGGATGTCTGAACCCTCAGCTCTGGGGAGTCCATGGTTAAAAGGTCGTGGAGGTAAGGAGCCAGCAGTGGAGCCTGAGAAGGGAGAGGAGAGCAAGGAGCCAAGCCGGGCAGGTCCTGGACCCCGAGGGCAGCGTGTGCTGTGTCACATGGTGGTGACAGGCCAAGTATGATGAGGGCTGAGGCTCCACCATTTGCAAAGAGGAGTCTTGTTGCCGTGGCAGCTCAAAGCCTGATTGGGAGGGGCCTAAGAGCAGTCGGGAGGCAGACGTTGGGAAGCTGCTTGCTCCTCCCTTCCAAATCGTGGCGCTCGCAAGCAACTGGATACCTGCTGCATTATTGTTACCAACACCACCACCACCGTTTTTGTACGGAGGGGCTGGGCTTGGAGAAGACACTGCCCACAACTGTGCTGCCTGGCCCTGCCTTACATTCCTGACCCTGAGCTTCAGGGGGGCCCTTGGCAATCCCTGGGGAGAAAAGCCCCCAGATGTGGTTGGAACAACACCGGGACTAAAGGGGGAAACTTGTCCCTATTTTGTGGAAACTGACATGTGGTATATACACTTGAAACATGCTCCCTTTCCCCCTTACTGCCTCGACTCAGGGTGAGGGGCATTCCTAAATGAGTGTAGGGGGCTAGTGGTTGCAACCAGGGGAGTTAATGGCATCCCGTAAAGCGGCTGTCCAGTGGGAGTCCTGCTGAGATCGCTTTCCCATTGAATTCCTGTCCTGCCTGCATCGGCAGGCACACTGTGCTGCTGATGAGGAAGAACAGTAATCAGGGCAATAATAGTATCAGCAGCTCCTAGTGTGCATGATGGGCCAGGCCCTCTGAAAGCACTTGACATGCATGAGCTCATTCAGTCCTCACCACAACCCCAGAAGGTGAGTACTATTATTTTCTCAATTTTTCAGGAGAGAAAAATGAGGCATAGAGAGAGTAAGCTCCAGAACACACAGCTGGCAAGTGCTAGGACCTGCCTCTGTCTCAGAAGCCATGCCCCCAACCACTGCGCACACTGCCTCCTCCAGAAAATGACTACCGGAATACAGTCAGGGTATAGAGGACCAGGGGGAGAAAGCTTAGAGCAGTGCTTCTCAACTGGGGTGGTTTTGCTCCTCCGGGAACGGGTGGCAATGTCTGAAGACGTTTTTGGGTGTCAGGACTTGGGGTTGCTCCTGGCATCTAGTGGGTAGAGAACAGGGATGCAGCTGAGCACCCTACGGTGCACGGGACAGCCCCTCCCACACCAAGGTGACCTGGCCCCAAGCATCAGCTGTGCTGGGGGTGAGATGCCGTGGAGCAGAGTGTGGCTGCAAGGCCAAGGTTGAGTAACAAACCATGGGGCCTTTTGTTAATAATTATTTTGGAAATTTTCAAGTGTATACAAAGGTAGAACTCGCACCTCCCTGACCCCCGGCCTCAGCAGCTGTCAGCGCCTGACCAGTCTTGTTTAGTCTACACTCCACTCTACCCTACTGGGTTATTCTGAAGCAGATCTCAGATCTCATATCACTTTATCTGTAAGGTTTTCTGTATGTATCATTAAAAGATAAGGTCTCTTTTTAAAAACACAACCACAGTACCCTTACCACACAAGTGACAATGGTGCCAGCATCATCAGGGGTCCAGGCAGCATCCCAAGCCTTGGCTTCCATTGCTCCTGCTTCCCTCCACAGGCCTCCAGTGTTCCAGCAGCCAGTCATCTTTCTGGGGGCCGATGTCACTCACCCACCCGCTGGGGACGGAAAGAAGCCTTCCATCGCCGCAGTGAGTGTCAGCACTTCCCGCTGGGAAGTGACATCCCTCTGTTGGTGACATCCTCCCCGGAAGGGACTCACAGCCCTTCTGAGCTGCCTGTGGGAGGGGACAAGGTCCCATCGCAGCCATGTGGCCAGAGTTTCTTCCTGAAAAGCAGGAAGTTTACTGAGGTTTACTGGACTGCAGTTGGTGAAATGAGATCTCATGGAAAATAGGTCTTAGGGGACACTACCAAGGGAGAAATGTGTTCTGAGAAGCAGTAAGAGTTGTATGAGTGAGCATTGTCCAAAAAACCAGACCATGGGCCGGCCCTGTGGCTTGGTGGTTAAGTGCGCGCGCTGCTATGCTGGCGGCCCGGGTTCGGATCCCGGGTGCGCATCGAGGCACCACTTCTCCGTTCATCCTGAGGCCGAGTCCCACATACAGCAACTAGAAGGATGTGCAGCTACGACACACAACTGTCCACTGGGGCTTTGGGGGGAAAAAATAAAATAAATAAAATCTTTAAAAAAAAAAAAAAAACAAAAAACCAGACCAAAACCCCAGACCAGACCAAACCCCAGACCCTGTCCTACAGGGCCTCCCCACAATTCTGGTGATACCTGATGGCTCCACGGCCCCTTGGGGCACATGCTGCACCTCGTTTTCAACATTTTCTATTTTTTATTAACAAATGCTAAATGTAAAATAATTACACCATCTAGAGTTAAGTGTCGACCTTTCCCTGTTCTAACTTGGTGAGTTTTGTCCAGGTGGGGGCGTGGCAGCCTTTGTTTCACAGGCGGTCACGGTGCTGAACACCTGTGCTCACACCTGCCTGTCTGTCCCCTTGTCATAGAGGCTGAACTGAGCCTCGTCTCTGCGCCCAGAGCTGGCTGTTCTGGGAGGGGCAGCATAATCATTGCTGTGTCCTTTTGTTTAAGAAGACAGACAAGTGTGTACTCAGACTAGTGTGGACTTTAAATGTGGACTGTAGAGAGCAGAGAGTGTTACCTCAAAGTCATCTTTGACGGGACCCCCATGTTCTGCAGCCAAGGTAGCCGAGTGCGGAGAAGGAAGCATCAGGCACAAGGTTGTGCATCCCCAGTGTCCCCAGCGGGGACTGCCAGAGTGATGTCTGTGCAATTGTGTACGCCATCATTTGTCTGAAACCACCTCTTGGTTTTCTTTCCACCTAGGGCAGCTCGTCCGTCCTGCCCTCACTCCCTCTAGACCAATCAAATAATAATGTTGCATTTTCTGAGCACCTACCACATACCAGGCCCTGGGCTAGGTGCCTAACTACGTCGTCTCATAATCTTATGAGGTCACTGTTAGTTCCCTCATTTTACACGTGAGGAAGTTCAGAAAGGCTGAGCTCAATTGCTCGAGAGCAACAGCAGAAAACACAGCTCAAGCCTGCCTGAGGTTCAGAGTTGAGTTCAAAGCCAGTGTTTTTCATGTGCTGTGCAGAGTGGTGGGGGATCAGCACACCTGTTGGGTCTCTGTGTACAGGAGCTTCAAGCTCTAATTCCCCTCCATCATAGTGGCTCTTTTTGGAGCGACCACAGATACATATGCATCCCTGAAGTGTCTCAGATGAGGAACCTGAGGCACACGCATGGGCAGGGCCCCTGCCCGCAGCTCAGTGCTTCTCTGTGAAGCGCTTCAGATCCTGAGGTGTGACTGACCACCGGCCAGGGAGACCAGAGCAGCCCGGGAGGTACATGCTTCAAAGAGGGCAGTCCTGGGCCCCCAATGTATGATGTGTGTCTGATGTTATTCAGGAGCCGTGCTTCCTTTATCAAATGAGCATCACATAATGTAATTCCTCCTGCTTGGCCCAGCAATCCAAATACCACTCCTTCCTACATAGACAGCACTGTTTACTGTGCTAAATATTTTTCAGCCCTTTCCATGTTTGCTTATCAAAGAGCAATACAGCAGAACAACCTGGTATAATTGTGTCTCTCTCACTGTCACTATCTCGGCTCCTCTGGTTGGCACCTTCAGGCAACTACTTACATGCCAGCTTGCCCTTTGGGACACTCTGCCATTCCTAGGGGTCAAAATCTTAGGATATTGTACATTGATGTGCAAATAGCTTCTTTGGGAAAGCAGTGCGCTTTAAAAAAACTAGGTGCCTTCTTGATGTAATTCAGCCACATCTGATCACAAGCAGAATAAAGGTTTGGAATAATTGACTATTTTTTATTAGATACATTGGGCAAACTTTTATTCTTTGGAACCTATTTATGAGCACTATTGCCGCATACTGAAAAGAAGCTTAAAGGTGGCGGGTTCACATCTGATGAGCCATTGTTAGTTCACCATGACGTGAAGTTCAGGGTGGAGACACTCCTACCGTCCCCAGTCCTTTCTCCAGCGCGCACCCAGAGCAGGGGGCTTTTGGAAACTCTTGATGAACACTCATTGCATGCCCCAACAGGTCGTGGGCAGCATGGACGCCCACCCCAATCGCTACTGTGCCACTGTGCGGGTCCAGCAGCACCGGCAAGAGATCATCCAAGACCTGGCTGCCATGGTTCGCGAGCTCCTCATCCAGTTTTACAAGTCCACGCGCTTCAAGCCCACCCGCATCATCTTCTACCGCGACGGTGTCTCGGAAGGGCAGTTTCAGCAGGTGGGCCGCCTCTTTTAGCTTTACCTATCTCTGTTCTCAGAGTGTCTTGAATTCACCTGTTTGTCCGGCAGCAGAGCTTCCTGGGTTCTCTAATGAAGAGAGTGATGCGATTTACATTCTGTCCCAAGGTTTATCTGTTCATAGCATGCAAGGTGGGCTGGAGGAAGAATGGGCACTGGATTGTCAGGACCCTGAGTCAGGCCAATGGTGCTGAGGCAGGATGGGGAAAGAGGAGCAGAGATGGGCGTGGGCCTGGGCCCTGAATTGCTGTGCAGGGAGAGGTTGAGTCCAGGCTGACTCGGCAGCGCAGCTCGCTGGCCGGAGCCCTTCCGGAGCCCGGGCTTTGCCTCACAGGCTGTGGAGAGTCTGTGGGGCAGGCACACTGTTGTGTCTGGGGGTCCCCTGTGTCTACAGTGTGAGGGGTGGCCTGGAGTGGGGAGAATGTAGAGGCAGGGTGAGAACTATGGCAGGGGGCCAGGAGGAGTGGGTGGAGCCCTTTTGAAAGTGAGTTCAGCAGGACCCGACCACTATTTGGATGTGGGAAGAGTGGCAGCATCTTGGGTGATGTGTAGGTCACAGCCTATTGTCTGGAAGGCAGGGGCACCATCACAGACATTCGGAGAACACAGCAGGGGAGGTGAGTGAGGAGGGAAGGGGAGTTTGTTGTTGTGCTCTGGTTGGAAGCACCTACCTGCAGCACCCCCAGGTCAGGGTGACCTGTGGGCAGCAATGAATCCATCCTAGCCTGGAACTCGGGAGGTTAATACCCTGAATGCGTCTCCACATTGGCCAGGGATAATTGCACCTGCGCTCCCACCACGTCCCCAACACACGCTTCATTGGGAGATATTAGCAGGGAAAGCAGAAATAAGATATGGGGGCCCATATCTGATGCTGCAGGAGATCCACCCAGAAAAGAAGGCATCCTGCTAGCTGCTCTGGTGTCAGCCCTGTGTCAGAGGCTCAGGCTGCCTTGATAAGCAGGCTAGATAGCATATGACATAAATATGGCATAATTAAGGCATAAATATGATTGCCTTATTATCCCAGTCCAGAGGAGAAGCAGCAGCTCGTCCCCCTGAGGCCCATGGTTGGCGAGGAGAACTGAATTGGTGCTCCTTGACTGGCTGGCAGCACCTGGCCAGGGCTTCTGATTTGGAGCTGCTGCGGAGGCCAGGGCTGGCCGTTCTGTTGTTGTCTCCTCTCGAGTCCAAAGTCCAGCGTGTGCCAGCCAACCTTGAATGCACCTTTTGTACATAACCTTTTGGGTTCCCTCCTTTGGAGATCTTCTGAGCCCCCAGCTGTTGCACCCTCTATCACGGTCAGTCCTACGGGAGAAGAGGGATTGTGCTTTTCTCTGTTTTTATCACTCTTGAATATACTCTGTGTCTTACAGAATCATCACAACTGGGGTTTCTGAACCCAGAACCCAAGACATACTTTTGAGACATCATAACACAATATTTAATTAGGACAATTGCTAAAAATCTAAGATTTGTGGTCCCTATGATAGCCTTCATCACATGGTAGGTGGTTCGCTCATTTATCTCTGACAACAGATGGTGAGAACAAGACAACATCTTATGATCCTTGTCCCGAAACTCCCGGGTGCTTACCTGCCCAGTGCTCTGCATGTTACTTTAGTCTTCCCAGCAAGCCTGGTCGGATGTTCCCATTTTAAAAGTGAAAGAACTGGGGATCAGAGAAGGTACATGGCTTTCCCAGAGGCACACAGCTACGTAGTGGTGGAGCTGGGATTTGAACTCTGGGCCAACTGCTAGGCCAGTGTTTGTTCCGCCAGATTCTCTCCTTCCCCTCCAATACAAAAGACAAGTTGTTGAATTGATTTGTTCATGGGTGTGTCTCCCATAGTGCCTCATTACTACTCTGTGTGGGAGGTGCCATTTTTCGTGCACTTAGAACATTCCAGATACTGTGCTAAGCAGTTGCATGCATTACCTGATTTAAACCTTTTAATCGTGAAACCTGGGTATCATTCACTCCATTATATAAATGAAGAAATGGGCTCAGAAAGGCAAAGTCACACAGCTAATAAGCTGGTGGAACTAGGCGGCTTACCTACAAATATTTGCCAAATAGCGTATATTATTAAGGGATTTATTTTAAGGTAGCAAGAGGCCCTAAAAACATAACGATCCTCAAGTGTGTTTTTCCTTCCCTCAGGTTCTCCACCATGAGTTACTGGCCATCCGTGAGGCGTGTATTAAACTAGAAAAAGACTACCAGCCGGGGATCACTTTCATCGTGGTACAGAAGAGGCACCACACGCGGCTCTTCTGCACTGACAAGAACGAGCGGGTGAGTTTACTTGGCTGAAGGAGCAGCCAGTGCACAGCGCTGGGCTCTGGGGCCTCACCGGACGTGGGTCTGGGCTCAGCCTTTGCCCTGTGCCACCTCACAGAGTGCCTGTGGCGACTCTGCTGCTGTTCCAGGTTCTCGGGAGACCTTGTCCTTGGAGTGGCTTTGTGGGGACCTAGCCTTAGGCATTAGAGAAGGGCTCTCCTCCTGGTGAGAAGTTTGGACCTGTAAATCCCACAGGTCTAAGACAGGTCCAGGCAGGAGATATCATTTATGCAATAAAGAAATTCCCCGGGCCAGCCTGGTGGCCTAGCGGTTAAGTGCGTGCACTCGGCTGTGGCAGCCCGGGGTTCGGATCCCGGGCACGCACCGACGCACTGCTTGTCAAGCCATGCAGCAGTGGCATCCCATATAAAGTAGAGGAAGATGGGCATGGATGTTAGCCCAGGGCCGATCTTCCTCAGCAAGAAGAGGAGGGTTGGCATTGGACGTTAGCTCAGGGCTGATCTTCCTCACAAAAAAAAAAAGTGTTTTCCATGTTCCCAACAAGATAGATAAAAATATATCCACACCTAGACACATTGTCCTGAAACTGCAAGGCATCAAGGCAGTTGCCTAAGAAAAGAGACCCTCCCAGAAGAGAGAGGCATTAGACTGACAGCCAGTAGCCCTTGACTCAGTCACAGCAGAGCAGGAGGTCGGTGGGCTAATATCCACATGTGCAGAAGGAAGGTGCAGCACGGCAGAGCAGGAAGTCGGTGGGTTAATATCCACATGTGCTGAAGGAAGGTGCAGCACGGCAGAGCAGGA